TTGGCCAGGGGGAGACTGGCTGTTAGTTATCCATCCTGTCCTCTATCCAGCTGGAGACTCTCTGCCTTCCTCCCCTGACTAGCAAGACTGACTGACTGAGCACTACTCAACGTGCCTAAGGTAGTGTAACTCAGCTGATGGATTAGCCACAGAGCTGAACTCATCCCAGGGATGGAAAAACCCACAACAGCAGCTTTGAGTATTGGTGACTTGACACCAATGGTCAGGAATAAGAACAATACACAGAAGCCAAATTGGAGTGTTCCTGGCTGGGATAACCTCAGCTGTAATTTATGTTGAGTCACAGCTTCAAGAATCCAAATACTATGGGAATAGAAAGGGTTTGGGGAATTCAAGGCTGTTGGAAACCTGCAAGCTGAATATGAAACTGTGAAATAACTGTGTACTATTTATATGCAGCATGGAAAGGATCTCAGAGATTCAACTGCCTGAGTGCTGACCGATATTTACACATGAAGCTCTAACGAGAAAATTCAGCTCATCTGAACATGCTGTGCAGACAATGGAGAAAAAAATCCCACCAAAACCCAGTATCTCCTGATAATTTTAAGCAGCTGGAAACAGAAACATATAAAATCAAGATGCCAGGAAACACAACAAAACCTTTGGATTGGTTTTCTTTGTAGGCTCTTTCAAAGCTTTCAGAGAGATCTAGTGAAACCAGAAATGATTAACTGTTGCAGTTAGTGCCCACCATTATGCCATCTGGGCCCTAGAACTGGGATTTACCACTCAACTTTTGTCTCAACTTCTGAACTTGTCATACCTGGCTTCTCTTCTAGTCAATGAGGAGCAAGAGGCACTTTGAACTCAGCTGCATGTTTGTGTCTTGGACCACCAAAGTTCAAAGGCATCAGTCCTATCACCAGCTGTTATCTGTCTAATACATCGACAATGATATGTTGCCCAACTACAACACCAAAATGTCGAATGACTCGTGGTGTGGGACCAGCCCAGGTCTCTTCTTCCATATAAAAAATCCCAAGGGCAGCTTCTCTAGCCTCACACTGAAGGCCATCCAGATTAGTCCTAAGAGTCTCTGAGAGAAGCTTCTCTTTTTATCACAGTTGTGGAGAACATGGAAAGGATTTTCACAGCTGTAGGAATGAGGATAACTGCTCCACTGGGTGGGATGACTTTAAAATTTGACTCTCTGTTCAAGGAGACCGGAGGGAAGACCACCAAGGGGAGAGGAAAGCTTGAGAAACCAAGATGCAGCCCTTTGCTTGAGTGTCTTCTCTCTTACCACGTAGTGTGGAGCAAAGAGTTGCCATCAGAACCTTGGACAAAAGTCTGGGGCAACTGTAAAGCTCAGAACAACTTGCTGTCAGTGCATGGCCAGGTTGAAGCAGGTTGTTGTTTCACTCATATCATGGATATGGTGAGACCTTCTCCTTCTTCCTGTTTTATAAAACAAACAGCTACAATTAGTTCTGGGACTGAAACACCAACTCTTCAGGCCCAAATATTCACAAGTACTGAGCATTCATACCCCAACACTTCCCAGCACAGATGGCCCATGCAGACAACTGCAGCTGTTCTTTGATAGAGATTTGGTCAGGGGAGGCTTCCCAGGAGGTTTCCCTAAGTTTTCTACCCTACATAAGGCAAATCTATACAATAAACCACCCAGGAAGACTCTCCTTCCCATCTGAGCTCCTGGGTAGGTTAGCTAATAACATGAGGACATAGTCCTGGGCAACTGGCTCCTGGTGTCCCTGCTTGAGCAGGAGAGATGGACATGGAAACGTCCAGAGGTCACTTCCAATCTCAACCAGCCTATGATTCTGTGCAAACATGGGTGAGAAAAATCTCAGAGAATCACATAGGATCACAGAGCCAATCAGGATGGAAAAGACCTCTGAGATCATCAAGTCCAACCTATGACCTAACACCACTACATAAACTAGACCATCGCACCAAGTGCCATGCCCAGTCTCTCCTTAAACAGAAAAATGTATTTGGATCAGGAAATCTTAAATATCTACAGAATCTGTGTCTCCATGTGAAGTAGTTACCTGGGCTTCTAAGAAAGGGGCAGAAAGTAACTGTAACCCTCAGATTAAGAGCTAGATCCACCAATGTGTGATTTCTCTCCTTCAAAAGCAAAGGAAAATGCCTGGGGATGATCTGTTCACATGAAGCACCTCTACTGCAAAGATCTGCTTCTGATCAGATTGCTCAAGCTGTTAAATCTCAACATATCCCTTCATTGTAACAGATCTAAAAGACTTCGTTGGGACTTCACAGACAGTAGTTTATTGCCTGAGCTGCTCTGCAGCCACCAGCAAACAGGTGAGAATTTTCCACCCAGTTGCAAAGCTTGTAGGTTTGGCACACTCAGTGTTAGCACTAGCAAACCAACAGCTGCCCAGATAAGCCTTGCAAAAAACTGTTTAAAGCTTTCTAAAAATCAGAGTTTACTGCTCATGTTGCTCATGTTAATCAGAGTTTACCAGCCTCATGTGAGCACTCTGCCTTGGGGTGAATATCTTCACCCTGCCCAATAAATCAGACAGATAACTGGTTTCCTGCTTCTCTCTCACTGTCTTTCCTGAAACCACCTTGGCTTTGGCCCAAACATCTGTTTTCCAGGTCATATCTCCAACATTTGCCACTCCAGGACTCCTGCTTGGCTGGTATCCACAGCCATAAACAATTAAGGAACAACACTGCTCAGCTCCAGCACAGCTCACTGTAATAGCAGCAGTTTCATTTAACACTAGAAACAGCTGCAATGGATATGGAGAGTGTCTGCTTAATTTCCCAGGGGAAAGGATACTATAAGGTATCTGCAAACTGAGGATGAAGTGCAGCTTTGTGGAAAAGGCCACCTGTAACCTCTCCTCCAGTAAAGCACCAAATACAGTGTCACTGGGGCTCAGCAAGATTGCACCCTGGTTTGATGGTGCAGGGGAGCTTTGCCCACTCTGGAGAATAATACAACATACGGAAATCATTCCCAGATGATATTAGGAAGCAATAAACTCCTTAATATCCTCAATCAATTAGGGTTAAGTAGGGAGGAAGAAATGAACTCCATCTCCCAGTCAGCAGAAGAGTTGTGTGGATAACAGCTGCCTTTGGTGGGATTTATGCTTCTGTCTTGCCCTGAATGAAAATGGTTGCATGTACGACACAGAAAAGATAACAATTGACTGAACAAGAGCCAACTGAGAGGGGAAATATTTATGGATTTGAGATGCTGCTCTCCTAATGTTAGCAAACTCTCATTTTCTGAGGTCAGAGGGAATATTTCCATCTCTCTCTCCTTTTTTTTTGTGGTGAAACTGTGCTTGCAAAATGAATTCATAATCTTGGGATCAGCATCATCAAGAGGGAAAGGAACCAGAGTTATAGCTGAAGGGTTGAACTTTCCTTCACCCTCTGAAAGGCATCTCCCAGCCAAAAAGGCAGGTCCTGACCCTGCAGAGATCTGTTTGGATAGCTGGTGGAGAACTGCACATGAGCATAACTCAACACACCTCAGGGCCTTCTTGCAGATATCAAGAGCAACACTGAACACCAGCAGTGATGGTTGAAGTCCTGTCTCTGTCCTAACTCCTCATATCCCACAGACCATGCAGTAGGGAACAGGGATCACTCCCCTGAGTGACTCTCATTTTGGGTTCCCATATCAGCTGTTGTTTCAAAGGAGACCAAACCAGCCTGTTCATGGAGGAGGAAGTTCAGAACTCCTCTGGGTGCCACCCAACATTTCTCACACTTTCCTTTTACAAGCATGTGGATCAGGGGAGGAAGAGGAGGGGAATTTGCATAGCCATTTAATTTTCCCTCTTTCCACAGACAGACAACTCATCTGCAACGTCTCACACAGGCAGTGGAGGGAGAGGGTGAGGAAAGGCAGGATCAGCAGCCTGTGATGGGTTTGGTGCAATGCCAGAGTCCAGGCAACTAAAACTTCATGGAACCACTTGATTTCAAAACAGAGGTGACCCTTTCCCATCACTTGCAGACACAGAGGACCCAGGCAAAGCATTTCTTCTGCCAGGTGGAAATGAGGCTTGAAGCCTTTCCTAGGACCAATGGCAGGCACAGGAATGGGCATTTCTAACTTAAAAGCCTCTGGGACCTCTTATGATATTGTGTTTAGAGTAAGTTGTGTGTATTGGTAACAAGACCTGGTCTCCTATATATATCCTACTGACACAGCTGTCTGGACTCTGCTGAGCTCATGGGTTTCTTCCTGCTGCATTTGCTGTGCAAACCTCAGGTCTATTTTCACATCTCATGTGGGATTTAGCTATAGTTAATTGACACAAGTGAACAGATTGACAGCTGAGAAAGGGCTGGTGTTCATCTCACTGGGGGAACTGCAGAAATCAGCTGCTGGGAATGCCAGTTGTCCCTGCCTGCATCCATGGACTCTAGGATGGAATCCTCAAGCATTCTAGCAGACCATGTATGGCTGAGTCTCAAAAACAGGGAATTTGTGCTTTGCTATCCTTAGGTCTCCACATTACAACTACTTTAACCTGTCCCAAATGCAGCCTATGCCCAAAGACACAGCTCAGCTTTCCACCTCATCCCACAGTGCAGATTCCCAACCTCTTGCAGCAGAGCCCAGTATCTGTTTGGAACATATTTCTCAAAAATCAACCTTTCTTCTTTCCTCTACTTGACAAGTTTGCAGCTGCATCCATTCCCTGATCTGACTGACCCAGCAGGGATGTGGGGGCCTGCCCTGAGCAGGAACGATGGTGTGGGGGATGGAATGCAGCAACTGCTTTTTGGTTGGGATAAAAGGACTGGGAAATTGTAGCCTCACTGTCAGTGAGGAGATTAAGGGAGGATTCACATGAACATATGCAGACAACTGCAGGGCACATATGGACTACCACCCTAGCTCCCAGAATATCCAGTAAAGAGACATCAAGACTTGTAGGGGTTTATCA